GGTTCCTCCCCGAAAATTTTTTTTCTTTTTTTGGCCCAAAGCTTATTTTTTGGTTTTTTGAAAAAAAAATTTTTTTTTTTTTTTTTTTTTTTTTTTTTTTACAGAGTCATTTTCCACAACTCGGGAGAACATGATACAGCAGTAAACCTTCCCTGTCAAAATTATTACAATAGCACATTGACAACTCACCCGGGATATCACAAACTCACAACGTCTGACCCCACACTGCAGGCCTCACTTGGCTCTTTTATGGTTAGTATTTATGATCAGGAATAAGAAAGAGAAGAACCAGCAATGGCATCCATGAGAAACTTAAAAGGCTAAAAACAACAGCTGACCAAAGAAAGCACAAATGCCTGTTTCATATTTGCCAAAAAAAAAAAACCATCTTGATGATCCCTAAAACTCTGTGAAAAATATTCTGTGGCCTGGGAAGATTTAAGTGAAATTTTTTGGAAGACGTGCGTCACACTAGCTGGCTTGAAACACATAATTTCACAAGAAGAACATCATGCACACAGTAAAAAAAAACAAACAAAAAATCTCAGCTATCCCTGACTTAGAACAGTTCTACAAAGAGTAAAATTCAATAATAATAATTTCAGTTCAATTTCAATGGCCAGTTTTTGCAAAATACTCCACGAAGGGTAAAACAATCAGTTATTAGGCGTGAGGGACAGCTACTTTTAAAATGGGATCAAGTTGCTTGTGTTAATTTGAAAACGGCACTTTTTTGTATTTGCTCAGGCTACCTCTATCTGATATCAAATTAGTTTGCTGAGACACCCTCAACACATTCAAACATTCAAGAGTGTCAAAAAAAAAAAGCAAGAATAGAAGAAACCTGTTAGCGATTCAATACGTTTTGCTAGCTCTTGTGACTTATTGGAGCTCAATATGCAATTCAATAAACACACGGACAAAACACAAAAAACAGTTCAACAGATTGAAATGACACCTATTTCCACAGGGGTGGTTCTTTATTTTACATTTCTGACGCCTGCAGGGACTTGAAACGCAGAGCTTTGCGAACAACACGGACACTCGCTGAGTCACAGCGAGCCCTGCAAACCTCCCCGAGAACTTGCTTTCATGCCGAGCATAAGACCTTGGAGGGAGCCCTGCAGCTGGAATACACTTTTCTTTTTCATGGTCCAATGCTGGATGTGCCGGGCAACCTGCTGTTCTTGTCATCTAACAAGAGACTGCTCGCTCCTGTGCCCACATGGTGATGGTGGGAAAGAGAGATTGTCTGCTTCACCGGGGAACCCTGAGAGGTGCATGTGTGCAAAGACTTGAGAACCTATCGCCTGCAGTTTTGTCAAAGGAAAGGTTAAGCGGTTTATTCAAGAGGACATAGTTTGAAAATTGCAGCTAAATGAAATGTGTTTGGAAAATAGTTTCACTGACAACACCCCAGATTGCTTGCATTATGGGAGCATCGCTTTATTGATCAGGTTACTTGGTCGTGTAATTGTCTTAAAAGTGACAAAATGAGTATTAATCAGACCTTGATTAACCTACTGAGTTCTGTTTTCCACTCCAGAAGAGGAGTTGCCAGTGTCCCGAATAAATTCACGCAGTTTTGCTTGTTTGTGATTCAGCAGCACGGTCGCATTTACATGATGGGTTAGGTCCGCTTTCTTGCACACATAAACGCATTTGCTGATGTCTGTGCTGAGTAATAACAGCTGGGAATGACAGATTCCAGACACAGTCGGGATGCTGACGCAGCAACACTGCCACCTACAGACGACATTTATACAGCATGCTGAAGTTTTATGTGCTGAAGCCAATGCAACTGATTTATCTCCATCCATCCATCCATCCATCCATCCATCCATCCATCCATCCATCCATCCATCCATCCATCAATCCATCCAATGGATCATCCTCATCAGGAAGCGTGTATCAGAGTTTTCCCACAGCATATGCTCATTTTCATAGTCAGCAATTAAAAATACACACACAAATGCTAAAAAAAAATTACAACTCGTAAGGCAATATTTCACAGTAGCTTTCAAAGCGAGCCATCTGTCACAAAATCCTGTACCCTCCCCCTCCCCCCCCGGCCCCCCTTCTTTTTTTTGATGAGCAGGACAAAGCAAGTGTTGGAAACCAGATGCTGGAGGCAAAGTGAAGTCGTTGCCAGAAAAAAAAAAAAAAAAAAAATCTGAAAAGTCCTTCTCACCACCAACAGTTCGCACTGATTTTGCAAAACTAATTGCTGCTCATAATTAACTTTCCAAATAGTGGTGGTTTATTTTACTGTGATTGGCTAAAGGAAAGGCAGAAAATGTAGTACTAAATTATGTTTTATGAAATATGGAATTTAACCTAACTCTGTATAAATGTGTGGATGAATAAAATACTAACAAAAACACATATGCAATTCAGTGACTTTTAGGTAGTAAAATCCTGTTTCTAAACAAAAATATCCATTGCATTCATAGAGTTTTTATTCATGGATTATTTCAAAATGGATTCCAAATAATTTCTGTGTTAAAACCATTAAGGTTCTTCATAAGTTGCTTCACAGTTGCTAAAGTTTTCTTAAGGTGTCATGTTTTGGTGATGGCTCTCCAGGTATTTTATTATTATTTTATTTTTTTTTTGCAAAAATAGGCAGGCATGCCCTTCAAATGAAATGTCACCCACCAATCTTATAATGGCCATATAATGTTTGAAACCACCAGCAGCAAGCTATTAGCATCATGTTTCACTGCAATTTGGCTACCTGTACTGGAAGAGCCAGACAACAAAAAGGTATAACATTTTCTGTGATAAAAACTTAAAAAGCCTATCACAATTAATGAAAATTAAAAATGTTGGTTATGTCAACAATCACAAATAATAAATGGTGTAAACAGCACTATTATAGTCAGCTTTTTAAAATAATATCAATACATTTATTTCACTTCCATATTACATATAAGTGCATAATTCTCTTGCTAATACTTCATACTGGCACCATTGACTTCACAGGTACATTATCAGTGAATTTCATCTACATTTTCTTTTTTATTTTATTTCATACAGTAGCTCGATGTTCATCTCTGCAGCATTGAGTTCACGGCTTCTGGTTTTGTGACAAACTATTACTGACCAAAGTGTATTTTTTACTTTTCCCTTAAATAAATCAGGAAACTGTTTATTGTGGAGAGATATAAAACAACATAATTACCACATGTTCTCAGGTATTTTTTTTATTATTATTATTTATTTATTTTTTTAGCCTTTTTCACTATTAATGACGGCGGAACCTTGGTCAGTCTCATGGTAAATGGGGACTAAATCAAGGTGGGACTGTTTGGGGCGTGTGGGAAGTTTCCTGTTTTGAAAATTAAACAACTGGTGTCATTAGTTCAGCGCTCAGTGGGATTTTGCATCAGCTTCTTTCGCTCTAGGTAATGTAGAATACTTTCTGTGAATAAAGTTAGCATGTAAATAAGTTTAGACAGGATTTCTGGCTAGAATGCTAATGCTAGCTGTAGTTTTAGTCGTGTCAAAGACAGCTAAATGATGGTGCTAATGAACTCTAACTCGCGTTGACATGAAGCTAACGATTGTTTTTGACAGCACATATATTAGCCTTAAGTCTTTTCGTTGGAAACTATTTTTTTACCAGCTTTTTGAACACATTTCAATGACACTGAATACGTCCACTTATTGTCCCGTTTTCTGTCTATGGCACGTAGAGGTGTAAACGGTGGAGGAGCCATGCCTTTCCTCCATGGGTTCCGACGGATCATCTATGAGTACCAGCCGCTTGTAAACGCTGTTATGCGTGTGGTTGGGATAGCAGAAGAAGAGAGCAATAATGAAAACAGGTAAAGCGAGAGAAAAAAAAAAACTTAATAGAAAGGATGATTCATTTTCAAGATAAGCTGTTTCTGCTTTTAGCAAACTATCTATTTGAAAATAAAACAAAATCTCCTTATTCTAATTTCTTACATTGAAAAATTTACTCAGTGGAGTGGTGTTTGCCATTATTATTTTTAAACATGTCTTGTTTCTTCTTTATTGTGAAAAGTCCCGAGGAAGAGTCCAGTCGGTGTAGCTCTTTGGTGAAGCTGCTGGAGCAAGAGTCCCAGTCTGAGGTGTTCCTGGAAGGCATCAGCTACGCCCTGTTTAAAGTGGCAGAGAGGGGACTGGTGTATGCAGCCAAGATCCTCCTACGATATGGAGCTGATATAAATTTTGAAGGTGAGCATTCATAAGTTGATTCACAGATGCCACTTTTTTTTCCTCCATGAAAAAACAACTCTGACAAATTAATTAACATTGGAGCAAAGTCAGCAAATACTGCCTCGTTTTTAATAGTGAAGGGGTAGACTTGTGGGTTTGTTTTTGCTCCCATATTTTTGGACCCCTCAAAAATGGAATCAAACTGCATTTGGACAAATTTGTGAAGTTTTGGTTAATTATCATTATAGTTTTGCACACAAATAAGAAAAAAAAAAGTATTAGAAATACTTGTTAAAGTTTAGTGTGACTCTTCTTCATCAGTCCAGCTCAGCCTGAGTGATGATTTGGAAACAAAAGTTGCTTTGTGATTTTTGTCTGCCCCATTTATAGGAAAAGTAAGGAAAGATAAACAACAACACTTCTGCATCTCTCCAATTCTCACAGTAAAAAAGAAAAAAAAGAAAAAAGTTGTTAAGTTGGCAACCGTGCTTTCTCTGGTCTTGACCACAGCCCTGCTTATCTCCCTACGCTCATCCCCTCACTTGGCCAAGCCCCTCAGTATCTCTTTGCACCAAAATTTTTTCAGATATTGACTGCTTATGCCTTCACGGGGGCTTTATTTACACTTGTATACCAATATAATGATTATTTGGACACAGAGATCAATCAGCTACTCATAGAAATCAATGGATTTTTCCATAGATAGCATTGAACCTGAAAGTAAAGATTCTTTATTAATCATTTTCCTATATGCAAAGCTCTATTTTGTAGCTTCATCATTAGATGAAGCTTGAGAGGACCTTTCTGATGATCTTTGCTTATCCAAGTA